GTGCCGTCTGCCGACGTTGTCGAGCAGTAAGTGGCGGCCGACATGCAGTATAACCATGACTTTTATAACCATTACGGTACCTGGCTGTCATGTTGTATAGCAATGTAGCACCACCACCCCTCGGTAGCTACATTCTGCGGGCTGACTGCCGGCCGACCTCATCCGTTCCAGGCTGGTTAGCGTCTGACCTCGTGCCCTCAGGCTGGCTGACGTCTGACCCCGTGCCCTCAGGCTGGCTGACGCCTGATGTCATACCCTCACGCTGGCTGATGCCTGACCTCGTGCCCTCGGGCTGGCTGGCGCCTGACCTCGCGCCCTCAGGCTGGCTTTCGCCTGATGTCATACCCTCAGGCTGGCTGATCTGACCTCGTGCCCTCAGGCTGGCTGACGTCTGACCTCGTGCCCTCGGGCTGGTTGGCGTCTGACCTCGTCCCCTCATCCTGGCTGACACCTGACCTCATGCCCTCAGGATCACGTTCCACTCGAATGGTCCGTTCGACGCCACCGGTTTCCAGGCGCAGTACCGGTTCGCCGCGGCCGGCCCTGGCCCCAGCCTGACGCCTGTGGACGAGGCAGGTTCGCGGGCTGGCCGGCCGGCTGGCGCCTGTCCCGTGCTCGCCCTGTCGCTGGCGCTAGCGTGCGGCACCCGCTGAGCTCCGCCTGCGTCACCCCGCGCTGTGGCCGGCTCGGGCTGCTGGAACATGACTTGGAGGGATGTCAAGTGCACGACGAGAGGTCCCAGGCCTTAGGTGGTAGCAGTCCTGGTCAGGAAAGCGTGGTCAGTAGAGGCGGACATGAACGGACCGAGTTCGGTTACCTGTGGTGCCACCTGGTGTGCTCTCAATGCGGAATTAATTTTCCAGCCTTAACTCACCATTGTAGACGTGTATAGAACTGTCTGAGCACGTTTCGGCACCAGCAGAACACTTTCGTGGTTGCATGAATATTGTACTCGTGGTTGACAAGCGATCTGCGCGATCTGAAACTGGGCGTCAACTGCCCGTACCTACCATAAGTGCATCCCACGATGTGAGATACATATGATATTCTAGTACACGTGTCTCTTCACAATTCGTCGCCGCTGTCTCACTGTCACCGCCATCCTGTTGTCCGGTTTAAACGTACCTGTTTGGACGTTCATCTACCCAACGCGCAACAACGCATGGCTTGAAAATGACAGTAGATGTGTAGGTAAGCTAGTGGTGAGCGCAATCCATTACTAGAAGAAAAAAATAAAATGGGACATTGCTTTTTGAGGTTACCATTGACAAGTTGACATCATAGCCTGTCGCTCCCACTGCGTCATCCATTAAAACGTAGACATTGGCGCTCCATCAATAATTTATTCGATGCTGCAGTTGACATCACGAGAGCGTTTATCTGACCAGAAACCTACTCCGTTGCCTTCCGTGGGACACGCGGAGATCCTGGCAGCATCGCGGGCGGGCGCGGAGCGCTGCGAGTCGAGCCCGACTGTCTGAATCTCACACCAAGTACATCGAACCAACTACACCGAACAAACACGCGCACCGACAGCTGTGAGGCGTCCGAGTGCAGTAGACAATAGGCTAAATGGAAGGTCGTACATACCGTCCCATGTCACGTCGTGTCTCTGCCGTTGGCTGAAAATGCTATGAAAAGTTGGTGTGACAGATCTTCCGAAACGAAGATCCCTAAACGGCACAATACCAAATTATGCTAACTTCCACGAGAGCTGGTGTGGCCCCTGCGCATCTGTCATAATGCGTTTCCTCTCACAGATCTTGCTGTTTCCACCGTTATCTTATCAAATGTTATGTCTATTGTGTTACGTAAGTCCAAGCGATGCGCCGGCCTTCCAAGAGTCCCACTTAATGCTCCGGACACAGGCCCGGCTAGGTCACTGTCGTCCTTCCTGGCAGCCTGTATGGAAGACCCGTGGGCGTAAAAGGCGCCTCCCGTCACCAGTTTCGATATTTCCGGGTTCACTGAATGCAGCAGCACGGATATCAAATGAATTAGATCAAGGCATTTTACTTGCATCGTAAACAAGTGATGACAAGGGACAAGTGCCAGCACGCCAGAGCGCCAACGACCACAGCAAATAATTGTTATGTGGTGACGTTCGGCGGCCAGTACCGAATCATTGAACGGTTCAAGGTGGTCGGTGAGCAGCTGGCAGTCAGATATAGCGGTGTGTGTAACACGATGTGTTAAATCATATAATAATAGTGTAATAGCAGATATAACGCGATGTGTTTGTCACGACTAAAGGACTGAAGGGCATCAATAGCCAATTTTGACGGCGTCGTCGGCTTGTTTGGCGGCACATGCTTGCTTAGGTATTTTAAAGGGAGCATGCCACCTTTTCTGTGCTTTTCACTTGCTGTTAGATCAGACGCATCCGATTTGGTCGGCAAAGCCAGTTTTCTCGAAATCCCTCTGGATAGCTCAAAATGCCCATGTTAAATAATCACCACGACTGGAGACATATTAGTGCACTCCCGCTCATCACCATCAAAACAATATTTTTCATTTGCTGTATTTCCAAATGTATGCTCTGTAATGTTTGTCATGCACTAATTGTTGAAGAAGATAGTGCAATATATGCTACGAAAGCTTGAAACACTTTTTTACGGAAAGGGATATGAAAACATAGGGCCGTTATCACGCGAGTTTAAAGAAACGTCATGCCATGGCTTTGAATTTTGCCATTTGGCATTAGGTACAAGATCTCTCTCCAAAGCGCACTTTGGCCCTGGGGAAACAGACGTATCACATGGTCTATAGTGACGCACTGGTTCGAACTTCAATCTATGCGCTTCATGGTAGCTGACGTTGCGCACCCCACTGCATCAGTCACAAACCTTCGTTTGTGACTGAAGCCATGTATGCCTGTAGAGGTGCCACTGTTAGGCATGCAGGCCCGCAGTGCGCCGGTTAACACGCGCCCGGGTGGCCGGCTAGCCTTCGCTCAGGTGGGGGGGGGGCAATTTGACCCCTGAGATATCGGGAACTAAGAAAGCTAGAGACACTAAATTTGCAGAGTGCGTTGACCTGTATGTGAACTCTCTTAGCTCAAAGTTTCAGGCTCCTAGATTATGAATTTGGGGTCAAAAAGATCAAACAAGATCAAGTTCCAGGTCTGTCTCCAAAGTTCCCCCAGAACCTGGATAACAGTTTCTAAGCAAAAGGTCACATGCTCATTGCAAGGTCAGTGAGCTTCTTTGACCTTTCGAAGGTCAAGGTGACCAAAATCATACAAGATTGTTTTGAGTTTTGTATTTGACTAAGCGACAAAGATTACGCTGGGCAGTATGTCCCTAAAACAAAATGTTGACCTGGGTCATTTTAGGTCAATGACCTATTCTGACCTCTAAAAAGTCCGTGGAAGATGTATAATGCGGTTCCTGCTATCAGTAAATTCGAAATGAGCGCCGGAAGTTATCCCATATAGCAAGCCCTAGAGTAACAAAAGACGTTGGTTTTGACCTTGGTGTGACCTTCATACTTGACCTGAGGTCAGTTTAATTTGCTCATTCAATTGTTGTGTTGCCTGAGAAAGCGTCTTAGAGATGTATGGCTTTCTCTAACACTCCGTTGTTGGATCAGTTTGAAAGCTTCGCTAGAAGTTGCCTTCGCTGAAACCATGGCCTGGCTTTGACCTGCCATAGGTCAGCGACCTGACAAGGTTGATCTAAATTTTTATGCCAGGCTATCTGCTATTCAATCGTCTATAGCTATGCAAAATTTGGCGCGGCAACGGCGCGCCGCTCGGAAACCATTCTGCAAAACCTTTGGGGGTTCAATGTGACCCCCACCCGAGCGCGTGTTAAAACAGCTCGAAAGTGGCACCTCCAGTCTGTAACAGCTGACAGCGATGACGACGGGCCTGAGCAGACTGCGCCGTCGCCAGTTGTCTCGGCCTAAGGCCACACTCTGGGGCTATAAAGATAGGAAGAAGACTAGTGCTGTGGAACACACTCAGCCCGATCACGCAGACTCAGGCTCAGACTCGGACATGTATTGGGACCACCCACAATGAGCTCGTACCAGTTACGGCGCCGCGTTAAAATGCTGAAACAAGAGGTCAGGGACTACTAGATGACATTCACACGTGCACACACACACATATGCAACTCGTCCAGGAGCATAAAACATCGTATCGTATAACACAGAACAACTTAGACCATAATTCACAGCAGGCTCCTGCAGAAGAGGCGCTGCAAGTAGCACAGCCCAACCCAATCGACAGCCGGCCTTACATGCCCATGTATGAGTACAGACCCATTCATTAATGAGTATGTTCCACATTTGAAGATCTTGAAGCAAGCATCAGATGTGATAAAATAAGCCCACTTTATCTATTGGTGTTTTTAAGCGTTTTAGGCAACACGATTTTTCCGTTTAGTAATTATACTCCTCAACACATCATTGTTTGATCACGTCATCGTACCTTGCATAGCAATGACTGAGGGTCAATTGACGGGCGCTCTGTCTGGAAGTCGTGCTTGCGAACCTCCGACATAGGTCACCGCACAATTCTTTTCTTGGCCTCGATCGCTGCACGGCTAATAGGATGACAGAACTTAAATGATGCTATTATGCCGTACTGAATTCCTGGTTGACCTTGAAATAGTCTCCCTGAAATAGTCTGCACATTATTGCCGTTGTGAACCTCAGAAACTAGAGGGATATGGATCTCAGGAAGGGCAGGGCTGTGATCTGTACCGAATGGTCTTCGAGATGGGTACTGATTTCAAACCCCCATACAAACGTGGAAAATTCCTTTGATGATTTGAATGCAAGGTTTATTAGAGCGACTTTCAGAGGTCGTCATGGCGTCCATCATCGAGCATATGGCCCGTCACACAGACCTCGGTCGGCTCCCTGGCGTCCGTGCAACCGTCGTCGCAGCCGGGCCGATGCGCCACGCTCGTCTGTACAGCATCGGTGCGCCACGCTCGTCTGTACAGCGCACAGCTGGCTGCCTCACGAGCAGCGCAACAGTGCGGTGCCAGTCAGCCCGCCTCGGCCTGCTTGTATTTGGCCATCAGGAACGCGGCGTTGTCAGCGGCGTATTGGGGGCTGGAAGGGTCATCACGTCGGAAACGGTTCACCCCGTTTAGGAGCTTGTAGGCGACAGGATTGACCAGCGATTTGGTAACCTTCCTTCGATTACATCCTGAAAATGGCGGATTCAAGTTAGTGTGAACCGATGCTTAAGCTAGTCACTGCGCTAGCAAGATTACCTAGGAAGTTTAAGTTGTGGTTTCCCTCAAACACTGACAAAGGAAGACGAGCAAGAAGCAAAAGCATTCCTCTATAATGTGTCATAACAATTGCTGAGTGTCAAATGTTGAATGTCGCCATGAAACGAAATCAAATAAAGTCCAGAAACACACAACGTTTCATTAGTCACTGTGCGAAATCGCAAAAATCGTGAAAAAGAACCGACCTGTGATAAGACTGACGACGCTCCCCACGATGACGCATACCAGGCAGCCGAGAGCGTTATACAACGTATACGAAATACCGTAGATATATTCGTCTAGAAAACTGAAACGCGAGGACGAGGGCTTGTGAGCAGTCGTTCGCAAAAAGATTGTCTTACGGCGGTCGGGAAATAAAATAAATGGTACTGCGGTTAGGGGAAAAAAAATCGCGCGGCCGAAACGCATTTCCCACATTTCTTCAGACAAAAACGGAAAAACCAGGGGTTACAATCACACGTGATATATACCACACTTGCGAGTATACAAAAAGGTCGAGGCACACAATTGATGCCTTGAGACGTGCCATCATGCCACTGTCATCCCTTCAGCGTTCATAGTCGGCCACTTATTCCACTGATGCCATCAACTCATGTCCAATCAGACGGCTCCTGCGCATCTCCTGGCGAACCCCCTAAGTCAACATTACAGGCCAACGATGACGTCACGGCACCACATGATTTAGCGGTCAAATCGTCTGATGACCGCTCCCGGCACACAGGGCTTCGTGCGTAGTGTAAGATGCTGTCCCTCTCTCTGACAACGCAGCCCCATCCTCCCACAAAATCCAGTTTCCATCCTTGTTCAATTTTAGTTTCCCACACATGCCGTTCTGCCATGTGTGGGAAATATCTTCCTTCCATTGGGCCGGATCTTCAATAAATCTCATCTTGTTTTTTAACAAAGCATCTACAACAGGGCCATTTATACGCCGACGGCATAATATAGCTACGTTTTTATATCTACAACCTCTGCGATACCGTCTGGCGCTATGACATTCTGATGAAGACACACGCATGTGGCGTACAGTGTCACAGGATAAGCTGCACCTTCACAGATCGGTGTCGTACAGTAAACGAGGTATATTAGGGAGGGAGCCTAAGCGTTTCACTGTTCGCGATTATTGTGAACATTGTTAGCGACCTACTGCCCGCGAACGTAGGTCGTTCACTATTTGTCGACGATTTCGCCATCTGAGTGTCCGCGTTCTCGTCGGCCTCCGCAGCGCAACAGAATCAGCGCCGTCTGAACAAACTGACGCAGTGTAGTTTAACGAACGGTTTTATCTCCTCATGGACGAAAACTCGTGAATGCACCACGGCAACAGGAAACAGGGTTGCTCACACCCTCTTGCAAAACTCTATGGGAGAGACTTATCAATCTCACATTCTGTGAAGTTCTTGTGCGCTGCTTTCGACAGGAGTCTGTCATAGTCAGCTGATTTTGAGTTGCTGAGAAAGCCCTATTCTAAAGCAATGCCACTCTCAATGCAATCACTAGAACGTTTTAAGATGCGGATCGAATGACACCGCTTCGTCTATATGGTGTGCTGAACCGTTCAAAGCTTGAGCACGGGTGTCCAGCCTTTCAATCAGAGCGCGTCTCAAGCGAGCGCACCCTGGGCACAGAAGACCACGTCTGCGAACGCACTGCGACGAGAACATTTGGCACTAGCCTTGTCAGTCTAATGGTTAAGGCAAGCGAGCCACCGCTAGCTCCCGACGCCAGATGCTCTGCTCATACAATTCCTTGAAGATGGGACAGTGTCCAGCACATTCGGCCTCCCAGAGAATTTCTTCGGAGCATCTGACCCAGCTGTTTGCCACGGGCCGAACTAGCGCTTTCAACCTCATGCGCATACGAGGCCACAAAAGCCTTCAGGACGTGGGCGTCAGGTCAGAGAACGTCGCGATACTGAGAGGCCCACTATGTACACTTTAGGAGTTCCCAGCACCTGCATATGACCTGTTCCTAGTACCAGACATGCATACGAATATAGACGAATGTCTCCAAGTCAGAACAGGTACAGGATGTTGTGTTCTCTGCGGCGAATGGCCGAAGGGTGTTACACCGTCACAACACTGCTCGATTTTCCCTGCCGAATTTTGTGCAACTGGAGATGCAATTAATACGCAGAGAAACACCACACGGAACATTTATATTGAGTCCGACTCCCTGAGTGGCATTTATATACTGTTCCACTTCCTGAGCAGGATTTTAGCTACCAAAACTCGAGAATCGAGCATGCGGTGGTTGACCAAATCCTACGACAGGTAATGACAGCGGGCCAGAAATTGCGCGATCTGTGTTTGGGTGCCAGGACACAACGGCTGGTTTATATTGATATATCAAGAGGGTCGAATGGCTTTACAAAGGAGGCAGCAGCTGGCCCACAACCTCGTTTCCTCGTGTAACATTGTCTGATTTCAAGCAGTGACTGTCTGCCCGTCTAAAAAATAAAAAAACTGTCAAAAAGCGTGCTGGGACCAGACGTACACGGACACGCTTAGCAATGCAGGGAGTAAACTCAGGGCTTCAGGGCAAAATACAGGTTGTGGTTGTGTGCTGCTGCCAATAGTGAATGACCTGATTAGCTTAAAATCAGGACTTGCAATGTTAGTTGCCTGAGGGTAACAAATTAAAGGAATTTTTCAACCTATTCAAAAATATATTCACCAGCAGTTGTATGTTCATGACGCTGTTATTGTGAAAACTATTAGTATTCACGTTGCGTCTGTGTACGCACAGACACTTTGTGAACGGGGCTGACACACCTGGGTGATGGGGTGGTGCTGAAAGCTTTCCGAGGCAATATCACAGGAATTAGTGTGTTTAGCTTGTTCAGCAACGCTGAACAGGCTACACAGGTTTTACTCCGCAAACGTTGCTTCAGTCCCAGGAAAATTAAATAAGCGTCCCAAAGAATTCCATTTTCGGTGACGTAGCTCTCATCACCGACCAAAGTACGCAGGGCACCACACACCGGGCTGGATAGGACGGAGCATGACATCTTTTTCAGCCGTTGAATCATGTAAGGCCTTGCAACAGCGCGATGAGCTCAAACCGTGGAATGAGTGTAGTGGAGCTCGGCCCGACCAAAACGTGCAAGAAAAAAGAAATTGAGAGCACGACCGATCAACATGCATTACATTAAGCAATGATTATTACGCACCTGGGCTCCTCCTCCTCTGTTCGCACCGGGCCCATGTCCATTGGTGGTGGTGTAGTGGACGACACCAGTGACGTCAGATTGGTGCCGCAGCCAGCGATAGAGGTGGGTAGAGGCTCGGGCTGTTCTCCAGATCCGTACGCGCCCACCACTACCCAGGCGCCCATTGCCAAGGCCGTTACAAGTCCTGCCACGGCACCCTGCCACGGAGGAGAGACGTGGACAGTCTGTTCGGTGTCTGGAGACCGTGCGGTTATCATGGCCTGATGGCTGGTACTGTTCTTGGGCAGGTCTACGGAAAACAGCGGTGAGCTAAGATGACGTAAACATTTGATGCGGAAGGCGGTCTGAGCTACAGTGAGGGACGACTCAAGTTGTTGCTACCACATCGCTTTTGTCACGCTGGTTTTCTGTGCCAAAACGAAAAAAATCCGGAGAGGTCGTATTAAAGATCCATCGAAATCGTTCGGGATGGGTCCAGAAACTGTTTCTAAACCAAACTAAACCATTTATTTTGGGCTGGTAGATGAATGGATGAATTATAGATCTATGCAGATGGAACTCGAGCTGGAATACAGAATAATGACCACTTTCGGCTGCCCATGGAATGATACAGATTTATCCAAATATCGCGACTTGCGTAATTTACCCAACAGGCGCCGAATCACTCATTTCGTTGTCATCCAGTTTACCTTGCCGTTGGCGAACGGAATGAAGATGCCCAGCGTGAAGACGCCAAACACAGGGCCACTGACGGCCCCGGTGACGGTCGCTGCAGCCTGCAGCACTCCCCCGAGCTGGCTGGCCATGAAGGCCATACCCACTGTCAGACAGCCGTACAGTAAACCTGCCGAAATACGGTGACCTTCGAGTTTGCTTTCTCCCTCTGCCATCTGCGTTTCTTTTCACGCAGGACAGTGTATCATGAGTACATCGACCACCATGAAACTGATCGTACTACACGCGTTGTGCCCACCAACGGGCTTTTCATAACTGCATAAGTTTAATACGCGCTTGGGTGGGATTGGTCGATTCTCCCTTTCACCCATCTAAGACTTTTCAAGAGTCAGTTTTGACCTTCGCGGTGTGGCGGCGCCAAGCTTCCCGTAGCTATAGGCAATTGATTGGCGGATTTTTGCATGCAAAAAATAGATGTACCTTGTGGGGTTGCTGACCCAATGGCAGGTCAAAACCAGACCTGACAATCTCAGCGAAGGCAATTCATGGAGGATCGTTCAAGCTGATCGTACAATGGAATGTTGATGAAGTTGCACATCTTTGAGATAGTTCTCAAACAATTAGACAACTGCAATTATGATTACGAAGCATTCCATTGACCTTGGGTGAGGTACATGGCTAGACCGAGGTCAAAGCAAACTGCTTTGCCACTGGAGAACCTGCTTTACGGGACAGATTTTATGCTCTTTTGGAGTTTCTTGACCACAGATCATCAATTCGACAGACATCTTATTTAGTCTTCCGGAAATGAACGATTACCGACTTAAAACGACCGATTAATGTTTTGTGTTTTAGGAACACACTATCTATGGTAATTTTTACGCTTATCTCAATTATAAAATAAAAACTCCTAGGTATTTAGACGCCACGACCTTCTATAGGCCGAATAAGGCCACTGGCCTGAAATAATCAGCAGCGAACTTTCGCTTAAGCAGCTAGAGAGAAGATGGCTGAACGAATCGGATACCTGTATACCTATCTATATACCCATCTAAACCTTGAACTAGTATGACCTTATTTGACCCCAAGGTCACGCACCTAGAGGTCTCAAAATGTGACACGTGTGTTCACATGCTGGCCTACCTATACGGTGAACATGATGTTTGTAGCTCTATTAGCTGTTCTTTTTAACTCGGGATCAAATTGCCCCCCCCCCCCCCCCCCCCCAATCGAGCGCGTCGCATTCGAACAACCATCCGCGCTCTTGTTGACTTTCGCAGTATGCACCGTACATAGCTGTGACGTCAATGTGAACGTAGCACCCATAATGTTAATAACTTTGCATGCCATTTGACTTGCACTTTAAACGCAGCTGGCAATCTGTCGGCAAAATGTTTCGCTGAAATGCTCTTGTGACAGTAATGTTTCCTTTGACCCTATACCCCAGACTCACTGATGCCTCTTGTTATCCAAGATTGTGTGACTGGTGACATGCTCTTGAAGAAGTTGATGTTGCTCAAGAAGTCCTGCCAGGTGATGGCTGCCAGCGAGTTGAGGCCGGAGGAAATGGTGCTGAGCGCTCCAGACATGATGCAGGCCACAAAGAGGCCCGGCAGGCCCGTGAGGTAGGACATCTGGTCCAGCACGAAATAGGGCACCAGCTGAAACAAACACGACATATCCCTGAAGCTATTGAGGAATTGGCTCCAGTTCCACGTTGAAACTGTAGCTTAAAACTCCCTCAAGCCATCGCCAGCAAAAGCGGTTTCACCTACTTCCGTGGTGTGGGTGATCAGGCTGGCTACTATGGTCACTTGCTTTTCGCACGTCTGACGAAGTCCAATGTGAATTCAAACGAAGGAAGAAAAACACAAACAAACAAGCAAACAAACAACAAGGTGGTATTTCTGTATGTGGTCTACAACCGTTGTAATTGGGTCATATGAGGTCGAGTCACGTTTTATCACCCTTGCGTCAGTTTTGCCACGACCTCAGGTTTGGAATAGCTTCGTCAAGGCATGACAGCCTTGACTCCGAAGTGGAAACCTGAGGTCATTTGAGAATGTGCAGTGACTTGCTATCATGGCCTCAGCCTTGGATTACCTTTTAAGTAAACTTCTTATGCGCGAAGGGATATTGCGAAGTGTAGAAGTTCTTTTGGCATTGCTGGGGAAATTTGTTTTAAAAAAATGTCAGAACTGTTGTGACGCTGACTTTGGTTTGCGATATCGCACCATTGACACGTGCGTCATTCTAACTAGCTGAGTTCAGAAATGAAGCGACAATATCAACTCGCATTCCGGATATACTCCATGGGGTTACTTCGAAACTAAAGGACCATAGTTCAGAACAAATACAAAACAAAACAGTGGTGCTTCATGCAAGGTAGTAGTGATGGTGCTGGAATTAAACAGAGTGCGGGTATCACGCCAATTTTCGGCGTGGTCGTCACACGAAACTTTAGGAGTAAGGTTATAGAACACAGACCAGATAAAGTGAAAAGCTGAAACTTTGAGATCCGGTTAAAGGAGTGTTCCACATTTGTACGGGGTTCCGAACTGAACTAGCCATTTTGAAGACCATTTGGTGCTATTCACAGTTCTGCCCGGCTTAAGACCTGAGCCCCTCTATTTTATAGAAAATGGGGAGAGGTAAATCGGGGAGAGTATTTCAAAGCCGCGTTGGCATTCATGACGAAATATGTAATATTCATGACGTCATAATAATGTCATTCAAAGCCTGCCATTTCATAAGCCATGCGGCAATCAAGTCCAAGGAAAATACAACTATCGAGGCGTTTATATCTGGCGTTTATGAACACGGTTTTCAGATATAACGGCCGTCAATCGGCTCTCGATAAATGTTGTGCCAGTTGGCTCGTGGGCTATATGACATGTGTGTGTTTGCATACACATATATGTATATATATATATATATATATATATATATATATATATATATATATATATATATATATATATATATATATATATATGTATATATATATATATATATAACTTACTCACAAAGAAGTGACTGATATTAACATGTGATAATCAGCTTGTGCATCTAATATCATGCTCCAAACCCATAAACCCATCTCACGACGTGTTTCGAAGAATAATGGCTGCATCATGAGAACACACACGTTCAGTGTAAGCCAAAACAGTTTAAAACACGAACAGATGATTTGAAAACACCACACACGCACACGCAATGCCGCACGACCAACCCCTCTGTACAATTGGAGGTTGGTCACGGTTTCAGTTTGCTAGGTCTAGGGAATGCAGTGCAGAAAACAGTACCTTTCCTGCAAACTGTTTCCAAACAGCTCTCTTAAGTCTCAGGTCTGCGCTGGCACATTCCACCCGACACCTACAACCCAGACCCATTAGTTATGTAGCATGCGATGTACACCAGAATGTACTAAACCTGACAGGTGGCAGCCTGCACCTGTCAAGTGCCAGCCAGGTGCATTCACCTAAAGGTAATGACATTTCCACTACCCGGTACTAGGCATGCTGCCGGCGATGACATGTCAGCAATTCAACATCGGGGCTGACAATTGACAAGAAAATATATGACCGACCTCAGATTTTAAAGGTAGCAGACAATCTTTCCTTGATAACGACACAGGCTACAGTAATGTAGGATGTCTGTACCATGTAATATGCTCTGGTTCCTGACTGAGATTTGGCAAACTTTAGATCAGGACCGACAGCGCTGCGCTTGCTGCTTCGAACTTACAAAATCAGCTCATGGCTCAAAGCGGTATTTTTCCTAACGAGCAAACACAGTTCGTGGCTCACCTCAAAACGATTGGTTCGTGAGCCAATTCACGATTCAGCCTGAGGTAAACACATGGCTGGTTAACGCAGCACATGGAGATTCATCAAGCTCGTAAATTATAGAACACAGGCTTGGCATAATTCTCAATGAAACCACCTAGTTCCAACCAAAGCATTATCAATATTCCCAACGTTTCCTTGCCTCGGAACGCGTTAGGTTCACGGCCTGATTTAAAATGACTGGTTCCACCCGTTTCGCAGTGGGTCTTTCGCTCCGTGGATCCCATCCGTTGCCAGGCAACCCACCGGTGAGACCCCACGTCAGAACTGTCCTCATTCCTCGCTCAGATCGGGAGCCGCACCTGGTCCTTCCTCTCGATGAGAGCCATCCGGAGCGGGTCGCAGTCGGCGTACGTGGCGAAGATGGCCAGACCGCACAGGCAGGCCAGCGATATGTAGAGAATGTTGGCCGGGGCGTTAAGGAGGCAGGCGCTGAAGCAGACAGCAGTGTCATTGGTTCCCTTATCAGGACAGATCAAAGATGGCCGCCACAGCAGCCCTCCTTGCTTGGATGCATATTACTATCAGAATGCGACTACAACAATGACATATGTATGGTTATACAAAGCAAATTGAAGCTGTAAACGGCACAACGTAATTGTCAAGTATGGTACCAACCATAAGTGAACCCACCGGTGACAGTTTCAACATGCAACATACGGTTTTATATACTTAAGCTAACTTGCTCCAACACACATATCCAGTGCTGGGCTTTTACTTCCGTGCCGTGATGGAATTTCCTTGATCCGCCGAGGCCTTAGCAGACGGAGCTTATCTGCCAATGGAATGGGACTTTCGCCATCCATTAGTTGTTGATTGCGCATCGCAGGCACACTTCTATGTGACAGTCGGAGTGGACGTAACTCACGTTCTGGCCGCCTTCATGGTAGGCAGGCTCATGTAGCGCTGCACCGCACTCTGGTTCACACCCATCACCGTGGTCCACATGAACAGGTAGCCGAAGAACACGTTCCAGAAGTTGTGTCTGGAGCGAACGCACGACGTTTTCCACAATTAGTGCAAGATATTTCTTAGCTTTTTTTCTTCTGACAATGGCACTGTGGAAATTGAAATGGAGTTGCGACTTTGACAATGTGACGCAGGCATACATAATCATGGCGTTCAGCCGCCTCACGAAGTTGTCAGTCATGCCGGTTGTCAGTTAACAGCTCTGTCAGCTAACAGTTATGTCAGTCGGCTCGGGGAAAGGATAGAGCGAGGAGCTCCGCCTGAGAGGGAAGCGCATTGAAACATCCAGCGTTCATAACGTCCAATGGTCAAAACGTCCAGAATGGCAGCATTCAGCGTTCATAATATCCAAAATTGTCCAACATCCTTAGACAGAGCAGAATCACAACATTCAAGAACGCAGCATCCAAAACTGCCGCATCCCATGTGACTGTTGGAGAGGGCATAACTTCGTAACATTCAGCGCTCATAACATCCAGCGTGCGCGGGATCCAAGGGTTGAGTTGCGGCATCACTTCCTGGAAAACTGCAGCCTATCGGTTTGTACATTGCCCGATAGAGGGTTACCGCAGCCGCATTCACCCCTATATGCCGACGAGTGGCATCATGGTGTACAGTGTTACCCAGTTAAACCACTGTGCAGGCGTATGAAGGAATTAAAAACGTTGATATCTGGCCCATGGCCTTGAATATCTCTGGTACTCGGCAGTAGCCGTGCGGTGGTCGTGGAAGGCTATTGTCCAGTTATCTGGGCCTTTTATTGCGGGCTGTTGATTCAGGCATCTGTGGTGCTAATTGAAATGAACGACGCGTTTGTAGCCCAGTGAAGAAAAGTAAAAACCAAAAGTTTTCTTCAGTCAATTCACTGGACTTAAACTTAACGAATGACCTGAACTACATTGTTGTTTAAAAATGCCGGCATTATGCAACAAATGTTGCATGTCATTATGCATGTCATGGCCAGTTATGACCAAGATGTTATTGTTTGGCGGCCGTCGACAGCTTAGTCAAATCCGAGACAATCTATCCATCATGTTCATTGATTAGGTGTTGCAGCACTCAGAAACTGTTCGAAATTTAGGACTCGTGATGGACACATCTGATATACAGCTGTCACATACACCAAGGGGCAAACATGTGCTGACATTCTAAATGTTAAGCATTCTTTCTTGCCATAGCCATTCTGAATGCCAAGCACGCACTTCCTCCAATCGTGATACTAAGGTTATCCGGCCAAACTGCCATCGCAGCCCTAATGGTATCTAATGAACGCATCTGTTTCGAAATGTCCCTGACAGCCGTTGAAACGTAAAGCCCCAATCATTATTATTAGGATTTAGGTCACCGTCAACGGCGTATGCCCTCTTACGATATGGGAAAGCCAAAGACTAGCAGGGAATCATCGACAGGTTGAACGCAAATGGCGGCTCCCGATTTCGGTCGGCGAGCTCAGTGCTCTCGAGGGTCGGTTGACAAGTCTGTTCTCACAACAGTCATGGATGCTCGCCGCCGGCAAGAGCCCGTCAAGATGAGTCCAAAGCGGTCCCGTCAGACACCAATAGGAAGTACCCAAGATTAAGTGTGATGGGCTTTTGAATAATGAAGTGTGCCGATGAGCCTAACAGATGGGCCCCCCGAAAGAAATTGGAAGCACCCAAAATTTGATGTGGAGGGGCCCCGAACGATCAAGTGCTCGAGCATGTTGACAGATGAGGCCGCCGGCAAGAGCGTAGAGCCCTCCACAAGTGACAGGGAACTGAGATCACCCTAGACCGATGTCGAAGACCCATGAGCTCATTGCGGGTGTGTCAATAGGTTAACTGAGACCAACGTGAAGGGCTTCTGTACAACCCAGAACACCCCGGCTGTTTGACTTGTGGGACCTCGGCTAAAGCGTATAGGGCCTTTCGGGCGAATGAGAAAAATCCGTGGTAGGGCCCTGACTGACAAGGGCACTCGGACGTGTCAGTGGAAAGGGTCCGGACGACAGCGCGGGGCTCTCCGAGCAAATATAAAGAAATCAAGGGCAATGTGGGAAGTTCTTTGGCGATCGGACTGGCCCTGCAAGTGGACATATAAGGTCCCAGGAGCAGTGTAGGACCTCTGGACAGCGTCATAGGCCTTACAGCCCTTCAATCAGCGCCCTCTCAATCAGTAAAGAATGAAGCATACAGGCGTCCAACTGGGTTGCGTTTTGTATAAAAAACTACGTCTGTTCAGCCGGTTATGAGTCCCTTCAGAGTCCATAAGCTCCTTTGGGGTCCAAAGTGCCCTGTACATTTGGGGTCCAAAGTGCCCTGTACATGTCCAAAGTGCCAAGTACATTGCCCTGTGCCCCCTACACCTCTGTAACCCCCCCCCCCTCCCCCTCCCCGTGAGCGTCCGCAAGTCTTAGCCGCCAGCCACAGCGGGACAGCTGCCCCGCGGGCGCAGTGGTCCCAACCGAGCCCGCGCAGGTCGCCGCGTCTCCGGGTGCGACACCGCCAGGCGCGCGTGCGCACAGTCCGTCAGCAAGCCTCGGGACGCGGCTGCGCCCAGGCCGAACACAGCCGCCAGACATTCGAAGTAATTCGTAGTAACCTTATTCCGCATTATCAAGTAATCATCAGTGGAATGCCAGGTTGAATATGTCATTTATAGACAAAATAAGAAAATATGTCATTGTTGTGAAATCTAGCAGCAATAATCCAAAACTAATTCCTAATACCGTGATCGCTGGACACTATGAATACTGAACGGTACTACTTTGGACGCTACGCGCTGAGATGCTATGAACGGTCCCAATGAGCACGGAATTGGACACATGTCGGATGTTATGAACGCCGGATTTGCGATCTTGGGTAGTATGAACACTGGACTCTGCGATCTTGGACGCTTGGATGGCTCTCCTGTGAGCTGTAGCTGAGGTTGTGTGTGTGTGTGTGTGTGTACATGCCAGTGCACGTTAACACATGCGTTGGTTTTGAAATAATTGACGCACCATCAGTACTTATCTACTGTAGACTGGAGCACCCACCTTTGCCAGGGACTCACGCTGAAGTCGAACAAGTTCATCCTGCCGTGTTCGGCGTTGATGTGGAATATGTTGCCAAATCCTCCCACGTTGATGGAGCCTTGAACAATGATGGCTACCATACCGGCACCCATGACGACTGCCTGGAGAACATCAGCCCAGACCACGGCCTTCAGACCTCCCTGAGAATGAAACACCCGGCCACTGTCTCAGAATATCCCCTTGGATACAACACCTCATCACCTTGGGACTCTTTGTAAAGAACGTTGTGATGCTCTTCCCCAAAGAACCGCACACCTTTCTTTTCTCGGGAGATTATCATAATTTGGGGGGCGCTGACCTCTTGTTTCTCAACTGTAGCCGTCGTTTTCCAAATGCCTCACATTGACCTTCAATAGCTGACACATAGCCCCAACAACGATTCATGATGCCAAACTCGTCATGCCCCTCACAGCTCGTTGGTCCGCTCACAATCGTTGTATAGAGGGTCGCTACGACCGCCGTGCAGATGATGCTGGTCTCCAGGGTTAGGTCGGTGGTGGAGCTCAAGGCCAAGCTGGGCGCGTACAGGGCGATGGCCATGTACAGCGATGTCTGCACCAGGTAGCCCAGCACGCAGAGTACTCGCAGGACGTGGTTGTCAAACCTGGAATATGCAACCATGGGGCGGTAGAGACGCATCGCGCTGGTTGCATCTCAGCAAAAAGGGGCTGTTACGTCGCTGTCTGTGACTGTACCGACATGCCCGGCGTCGGACAGCATACCTGAGCTGCAGGTACTCGTTGACAGACGTCAGACCGCATCGGTAGAAGATGGGCAGGTAGAGCAGAGCCACGGACGGCAGGGAGATGAGAAGTGCCAGTACCATCACCCAGTACTGCGTGCCGTTCATATACATCTCGGCTGGCGAACCTACCCCAGGCCGATGCACCGTCATCGGCCATGGTGTTGGCATAACGTTACTGCTAGACGGGGTACATCACTGCAGTTAGGTGGAGTACATCATTACAGCTAGGTGGAGTACATCATTACAGTTAGGTGGGGTACACCATTGCAGTTAGGTGGAGTACATCATTACAGCTAAGTGGGTACATCATTAAAGTCAGGTGGGGTGCATCATTTTAGCTGAGTGGTACGTCATTACAGCTAGGTGGAGTACGTCATTACAGCTAGGTGGATTACAACGTTCCAATAAATAACACCGGGAGGACTACGTCTAAAAGAGTGCTATGTTTGTTTGCTGGTGTTGTCACTGTCATCGTCACGTTCTAAGGGGCCTATATTGTACTATGAACTCAAGTCCTATATATGCGGTCAGACGTTGGACGGAAGTCTGAGTATTGGCCATTACAGTCCAAAGACCTATCTTCCCCTCCTTTATGAATGCGTGAGGATATGAAGTTTTGTCCTCCGATAATGTCCTCCGAAAATAAATTCTTCACAAATCAGAAGTATTTTCGAGACGGGCGCTGGTTCGCCACGAGACTTCCACACAGCTGGCAGCTTACCCAAAACCAGGATGGCCGAGAGGAACGTTGCCATGATAGAAATGGCCACGGGCAGGATGGCCATGTTCCTGCCGCCAAGCAGCATCTCAGCGTTGGTCTGTTTGCCGCGGAAGGCGTGGTACACGCCAATCAGCAGCGAGGACAACAGCACGCTGCCGAACACGCAGTAGTCGACCAGACCGAACGTCTTCGGAGACGCCATCTTCTCGGCCGGCTCTGAAAGGAAAGCAAGAACGCTGGGATGACGTCTCTACAGATTGCAGCAAATGTTGCCAGTGATTATTGCACAAACCGGGGCGGAATCCGCATATCTTAAGTCTGCATAGTTGACACGTGATTCGGACATTCGTATGCTCGACACGAACGATAAAGTATCAACACCTTCGTCTCTCGAAGTCTAGAATAATGTACAACTAGGGCATGGCAGGGGCACGCGGCCAGAGACTTGGCAAGGGGGAGCACATGGTTGACACAGGGTCCCTGATGGTAAAAGGCTCACCAGAAAAGCGCTCTGCATGGCCCATTTGCCAATGACAGCATGCTTTTCTTTGACATTGTCTATTTTTACCGTCTATTACTGGAACAGATACCATAAGCTACCGCGAGGTTTCTTCTGCATGAATTTGATGGTTATTAAACTGAAGAAATCATGCGTTAATTAACTGCATGAAATAAATATCCAGCACATTTAATTTTACAATGATTCAGTAGACTCTATTTAAGCCGAAAAAAACTCTGGCTCTAACATTCGGCTAGAATCGATTAATGATAGAAATTACCAAATGTAGTTTTGAACATTCACGCTCGCAAATATTAGCAACAGAAAAACTCGCTAGACGCTCCAGTCTCCATAACCCGCGCGGCGTCGACCCAGTGGCGAACACCAAGTCGTGCCCAGCAAAAACGGTGGATGAAAATAATCATATATCTGAAAGAAGTTCATTTCAAGGTTAAGAAAATTAGCTTTTGGAAGAAAGTTCGAGCGTATATTTTACCGATGCGGTTATGAAATTCATGATAAGAACGTACTGGCCCTTACACCACGGCGAAGCAATGCCGTTACCTAGAGTTGGAACTGGAAGAGTTAAGGTACAGTCTCCATGTTCGTGTTGCTTTAATTGTTAATCGGTCGACAGGACATCCTCAAAGTCGTGAAAAAGATACGCGTAGTCTAATATTTGAACGGTACGAATTTGATTTGAACACCATACGGAATGAACAAGCGAAGCTAACGTCATGTCAATATCATATGCAGTGTAGGCTGATAGTGACAGCGTTACTGCATGAGCCAGATGTCGAGTGACCATGCCATTATGTTCATGTCCTTATACTCGGTGCTAAATGGGCTCAGCAACTCTGAGCCAGCCTGACTACTTCCCAAGTCCTGACGGGACTGACAATGATTGCACGTTTAAAGGTTTATTGCCGCAAGCAGAAAAAATACTTGCAAACGCAGCGCCCGTGTAGCGCCCACTGTGCTTACTATAGGTATGCAGCAGAGCGTATTCGGCGGCACTGGTGGTTGCAGTTTTGACGCATGAGGTTCTTGGATGGTGTAGTACGAAGATGACAATTTTTCTATACCGTTACTCAAGAACAGGTAACCAGGAGTGTCCGTCCCTCAATCCCAGCGACGTAATAAACCGTACGTTAACACCAGAAAACATAAAATCAAGTCGCGGCACTCCCAGCTAGAAGGGGAGACAAACGTAAAGAAACATGCGAAGGGGTGGTGCAGACCCGAAGGAATTGTGTTACGTATTAGGAAAGGAAAAATCATACATGAGAAGGCTTGAAGTAGTCATTAGTCAAAGTCAGGTAATGACAGCCCGCTATAACCGCCCAACAAGCTACAAACACTCATTCACAGTGTTAGTGAAGGTTGCACAGTCACACAAATCGAAGGGGCAATTACCTGGTCATTTTCGTGCTGGGTTTTGAGCTGGGTGTACACGGAGTCCACCCAGCTAAGCGGAGCTTGCTGCTGGAAGAACTCCCGGAGCCAGTGCCGTGAATTTAGGTACAAGTGCATGACTTTAACTATATCAGAACGTGATTATGGAACATGAAGGAGGTTAAATATGAAGTGCGTTGCATATGTGCAGCGCAAAGGATTGCAATATCTTCAGATATGTTGGCTACGTGAATATGCATTCACGAAATGCTTGCGGATGATGTTCTTAACAATGTTTTTTTATGCAGAGATATCAGTTATTCTCGAAAAATATGAAAGCATAATGCCGTTCCACAGCTTTGGGCCAAAGCAAGATGTAAATAGTATATAATTACGATTAGAGAAAGGTTGGTCTAAATGTTTTACTGGCCTCATATCCATGTCATTTGATTCGTAGAGCTTGTATATTAAATCGAATGATGCAGGGAGCTGTGAAGTTACAAATTTGTGCATCACAATCAACATTTTGGATTTAGCGATATCTGATAGTTTAAAAAATGAATCTCAAGATCTTACAGGTGGAAGATAAGTCCCAGACTAATCTTTGAGCGATGTGAATTTATTTGGAAAGGTTTCAGATTTCGGTGCATGGGTTCGGGAAAAAAGCAGGGTAAACTGATGTGCGCAGATAACACAGGCCGCCGAGGAAATCCCACGCAAGTAATCGCAAGGCGAGATTCAGGCTGCGACGCAGCATTCGCGAAAAGCATGTTTGAAACACCTGATGATATTTTTCTGATCATTGTCGGACGGTTACCGCGATCGGTTTCGTTACGTAATGCTGATCGTCGAGTTTTCGTATATGTTTCATGGAATATTCACGTCAAAGTGAAGGTCGGCACGTTTTAAGGATCCTTCCGAACACATCGGCTGGTAAATTCACGTTTTTGGGTGCTAAAATACTCGATCTGCATATTTTGTTTCTTCGACAGCGCTTCGTGGCAAAATATCGCAGCAAACACAGCTTGAGGCAGTTTTTAGAGCTTGAAACACCACTGAATAATCCTGGAACATTTAGGAAAAATCATAAAACCGGACCAGAGTTAAACGCGCGCTCGGGTGGGTGGCGGCGGAGGGTTCAAATTCAACCACCCGAAAGCTTTTCCAGAATGGTTTACGAACGGTGCGGCGTAGCCGTACCAAATTTTGCATGGCTGTGGACAATTAAATAGCGGATCGTTTGACAAAAATTAGATGCATCTTGTAAGGTTACTGACCTATGGCAGGTCAAAGTCAGGCCATGGTTTCAGCGAAAGCAATTTCTAGGGAATCCTTCAATCTCATACAACAACGAAGTGTTTAATGAAGCCATACAGCTCTGAGATGCTTTCTCAGGCACCACAAATCTTGAATAGGTAAATTAAGTTGACCTAAAGTCAGGTGTGAAGGTCAGACCAAGATCAAAACCAACCTTATTTATTACTCTATGGCTTGTTGTATGGGAAAGTTTATGGTGCTCATTTCCAATTTGTTGACAGCAGGAGCCGCATTATATATTTTCCATTGACTTCTTAGAGATCAAAGCAGGCCATTGACCTAAGATGGCCCGGGTCGACATTTTGTTTTAGGAACATAATACCCAGCGTAATCTTTGTCGCTTATTCAAATGCAAAACTCAGAACAGTCTTCTATGATTTTGGTCACCATGACCTTCAAAAGGTCAAACAAGGTCACTGACCTCCAATGGGCCTGTGAAATTTTGCTTAGAAGCAGTTACCTAGGTTCTGGGGATACTTTGGAGACCAACCTGGAATTTGACCCTATTTAAACTTATTGGCCATGACCTAGGAGCTCCAAACTTTGACCTAAGTGAATTCACGTACAGGTCAAGGCACCCTGTAAAATTGGTGTTTCTAGCTTTCTTAGTTCTTGCGATCTCAGGGCGTCAAATTGACACCCCCCACCACACGAGCGAAGGATATCTATCCGGCCACCCGGGCGCATGTTAGAAGAGACATGAATCGCACAATTAAAACATGCAGAATGCAGCAAAAACAAAACCGTTTCAGTTAGCATGGCACAAACGCAAAGCTCTAAAAGTTTGACGAGCTCCGTCAGCTACGTCAATGGTCGTCAGCAACGTTGGCATTACTGTTACCAACAAGTATGTGAACGTCAGCATCACCAAGAGCGCTATCAACACCAACGAGATCAAAACCCGGACGGTTGTTTTGAATTACCTTATGTGATGGTGATTGGGGTTTTAGGGCGCGCCGACTTCTGGGGTCATTTTGCGCCCATGAATTACCTTATGTGAATGAAGCTGTGTGCGTAAACATAAGACCAACTGTCAAAAAGCGCAGCCTTACTGCTCGCATAGCATGGCGAAATCAGAATACTTTGAAACGCAATATATTTCGATCGGCTTTCTCGCAGCCTGTGTGCCCATCCGGTAAAAGAATTTATAATGCATGCACGTCGGGTTTGAAAAGCAAATGTCTGACGTCTGGTGCTGTGTATTGTATAGTGTGTTTAATATGTGAGGGTAGGGGTGGAAGAGTGTCGTATCTGGCGAATCAAAAAGACCCATTCGGCTATGATTTACCGAGTACGTTCTAGACGCAAAAACACCCCTGAGCATCCCACTGGAGATCATTTTCTTTCTGCACACAAAAGTGATGAGATTCGGTGTAATGGAAGCCCATTGACTGTTAAATTATAATGATAAAATATGTGAATCAACCCACACAGGCAAACTGAAGCCTCTACTAAAAAGACTTATTTCATCCTGGAGAATAATGTAGTCTTTATCCGTACAATGCCAGTATATTTTATCGTCTGTGATGTTTGTGAATTCATTCAGTCAGTGTGCGAGATGCGTGCCATTTGATCATGCGTGTTCTGGAAAAAAACGCTGTCAACACTGGCTGGTATCTGGTGGCTTTTTTGTATTCGAGCTTTGCAATTTTGTGAGCAAGGTTCCTGACCGAAATTCCATTAAAAACACAGATTACTTTACGAACACCATGCATATCATTATTGTAAGGATGTAATCATAATTCACTTGCATGTTTACCGTGCATGACATTTCGCAACCACGCATTGTACCCTCTTAAAGTCAATATTCGAGCTGTATATTTTAACTCTTCGTTAGCACATCGTGTCAGAATATCACAGCAAACGCAGGTTGTTATAACCCAGGTAACTTGAAATAGTGTAAAATAATGCCACAACGCCCAGCAAATAACACAAAACTAGCTTCGAGTCAACAAATCATCTAACTTGCGCAAGGAAAGCTTGTAGAATGC